GAATGCAGTGGTTTAATCTCTCATTACAGAAAACATAAATTTTGATTGTTGAACTGCACAGTTAAGTCAATAAGTGGATTCTGTCAATGGATCATTTCTGTCATTTTCCATTAGGCATCATCTTCCATGAGTTGTCATAGTAACCATAGCAACAAGCAAGCTGACTCACAGCCTTAGCATAAAGCATAAATCCTCAAGCATAAAGCCTTAAGAAAATATTTGACATGACACAACTTTGTTTTTACAACAGCATAATTCATGTTACCCTATTTATTGGAGAAAAATTGTTACTGGAGTCTAGGCTGGGGCTGTGCTATATAGATTATTTTTTAAGTTAACCACTAATTCTGTTAATGAGTGACCGACACTGTACAACCAGGAGTAGCAAAGCCCCTGGTCTGATTCTATATCAGACTGATAATGCACCCCACAGCATTATTTAGGTTAAAAACTATGTATTTCAGTTTTACACTTTTATACCTGTTAGCTTGCAGCTAGTTCTCCCACAAAACTCACAAACAAACTCCATGTCAAGTGTAAAAGCAAAGTACCTGCACACACTTTTCACATCCTTCGACTTGTTTCATGGATAGAGACAGGGGAGCTTTTTCATTACTGTAGAATAAAAAGGGACCACAACACAGCAGGTCTCTTCTTCTGTGTAAACTTACTTATGTTCCATTTCTTCAGGCTATAGTTAATATAGCCTTTAGTTTTTTTTTTGTTTTATATGATTCTCCTGGCTACAAACCTATTTAAGAGGCAGCAAACACTAATATACTGTATAATACTCAGAACATAAATATTATTCAATGAGGAGCTAAATCAATTAATTTTGAAATTTAAAAAAATATTACAGTGAAAACGTGAGCTGGGACTGGGAAAGAGACTGGGATAGGGACATGGACTGGGAGTGAGACAGGAATAGAGACTGGGACTGGGATTGGGACTGGGAAAGAGACTGGGACAGGGAATGGGACAGGGATAGGGACTGGGACTGGGATAGGGAATGGGAAAGAAACTGGAATAGGGACTGGAAAAGAGACTGGGATAGGGACAGTGACATGGAAGGGGACCTGTAACATAAGGGTAGGGAGCAGACAACCCTACACCACAAGTGTCAGGTTCCAGCAAGTTTCAAAAGTACCTTCCCTGATTAAGATCTGGAAAAACACGGTTGATTGGAGTGCTTACCCATTTAATCACTTCAGTTGAGTGGTGAAGTTTGGAGAAAGATTCTGAACACCACAAACATGTGTGGCACCTCTTTGGGGAGGGGTGGGTAACAACAGGATGATGAGGTGGGATGAGGGACAGATTTCAGAGAGAGGTGCGAAGCAGCAACCTGTAAATTACCGCACAGACTAGAGTAGCCAATTGTTGAACTCTGTCTGAATGCACAAATCCAGTCTTACACATCATTTGACTTACAATGTTTCTCCGGCGCAGGTGACTTTGATTCCCTGTGAACAGATTTTTCTGATTTACCTCAGGAGATGTAAATTTGTGGACTATTTGCCTAAGATAGACAGCCAGTCTTCTTCCTGTTTCTCTGATGTAAATGCTGGGACACTTTCTAGAAGAAATGCTAGAAATGAGATTATTAGACTAG